TCGGTCCCTGGGACCAACCTCATAATCATTTTGTACTTGTTATAATTTTCATGCTATAACTATTAAATTAGTAAGTGAATGATAATGAAATATGGCAGATTATCAGTAAACATTACAATGCTTTCAAATGCAAAATATCATATTTTTTTTATCAAGTCTTAAGGTTTGTAAAGCAATGTTTTTTTATGTCCTTTTTTTCTTTTTTGTATGTTGCCTATCCAACATGCAAAATAATTTTCATTTTAAGATTAAAAATCCTTTTGTGAATCAGAAAATTTTCGAATTTCACATGCAAAATCTTTACAATGTGCAGATAGTTATCAAATTTTTCTTAAGAAAAAAACTACGTATTGTATCGATTATTTTCACTAACGAATCTCCGTACAGATTCAGTGCATTTGACCAGTCTCATAACCACCATAAAAATTAGGAAATAAATATAAATTATTCCTTTTTCTTTCTAGAATGACTACAAGTTATAGCATGAAAACATAACTCTTTAGACTAAAAAGCTTAAATATCATAACATTATATATTTATTATTCTTATTATATTGACCTTTCAGGCGTGTCTGGATAAACAATACAAAAGTTACAATTATGCAGCTCACGTGCACTCATGTTACCATATTCAATAATATAAAACTGACCTTTGGTCTTTGCAAAGTGACCTGTCTTGGCTGTGTTTTAATGGACTAGTATTTTGTAAAATACAGTCACATTTCAATTATTATATATATATTTTTTTTTTTAGGTTTTATATAGACATTTGAAATAACCAAAAAATCATAAATTACAATATTGATACCATAGAATTCCACTATAATTTATCAAGCTTACTAATTAAGCTGCATTTTGGTCTAAAAAACTACAAAATTTCGAGCAGACTAAAGACTCACCTTACCAGCTTGAAAATTTGTATTTAAAGAATGAGATGATGTCATAATACTTGAAAATGGTTGAGAAAGCCACTAGGGATACATTCTGAGCTTTTGATTGGTTATTCACATATCATAGACAGAAGTAAGTGCATATAAGGGAGTGTTTCCAAAAATGGAAAGAGGTGAGCAGGGCCATTGTGTTTGATTGAGTACATGAGCGATATATCAGCAAATAGAAAAAGATAGGAGGTTCTGATTTTATATTCTAGCTTGTTAGTATCGGTAATTTGAGTTCCTAATTCATACGAAACTATAGAATTTATACTTTGACATCACAAACATCAAATCTGAACCAGTGCTGCATTCAATATAACACAAAAGTCGGTGTTTAACTGTGTTTTTTTAATATTTACTTTTAATTTAAGAAATTAAGTATATTTGCTTTTAAATTAAGAAATTAAATATATTTGTTTTGAATTAAGTATATTTGTTTTTAAATTAAAAAATTAAATATATTTGTTTTTAAATTAAGAAATTAAGTATATTTGCTTTTAAATTAAGAAATTAAGTATATTTGCTTTTAAATTAAGAAATTAAGTAATCTATAATACTAAAGTTTGAATTATAATCAACAGTTTGATACCAAACTTATTGACACAAATTCATAAAATAGCAGTTTAATAAAATTTTGAATGCGAGTCAACAAACTCAATGAAATGGCCTTTGACCTGTGTGGAAAGGGTGAAATTGTTACATGCCTGATGTAATCTTTAGGATAATTTTGCACCAGGAAGGCATTAATTTTATGCGCTGTAATATAAAGTTTTAAAGAGATAACTTACTCTGAGAACCAGGCAGAGCAGGAAAATCTTCATTATGTATGTGAAACTCACTAGATTCATTGGGCGGTTGTTTTACCATTCCAACTAAAGAACATATAGAAAAGCTGTACAGGTACATGTGAAATGAAGTGTTCTACACTTATAATAAAAGTACTAGTATTACAAACATTCCCTAATGTGCATGTTTAGATATCTTAATGTATAAATATGAAAAAAAATAATATAAAGTTAACAAAGTATAAATGATATCACACTATTAATCTTAACTCTTTAAAAATATTTATGCATAAAGCAAATGAACTTGAAATATTTTTTAAATTCTTCTTCAAACACCTGATTTACGTAATTATGATTAAAATGAAACAAGGCTTGTTTTAGAGCCATGACTACTGAGAAAACTTAACAAGACTCGGTTGCAAGCTACACCCATGCATGCTATAAAAATGATTTTATCTAAAAAAAGATGCAAAACTATTTGCAATAAATGTTAAGATCATGAACAAAAACACAGAAAATATATATATATAACTTATATATAAAATGATATACATCATTTAATTAAATCTAAAAATGACAAATACCAAGAGAAAAGATACAGAAAATATGCAAGACTAACAATCTAACATGTTGTGGAAACAAATATAATGGTGCTTTTAACTACTACTAATCAAAACCAAGTGAAAAATCCAGTCATAAAAATATCAGAAAGAAAAAAGCAAAAATTTGGAAATCTTACTTTGTCAGTCCAGGATTTGACTTGTTATGAGAATTTATCAGAATAAATATTTAAGACGTACATTTTGCATAAATCTTGAGAACCTACATTTTCTTTGCCAAGGGACATTCCTTTTTTTTTCTTTTTTTGCAGGATAAAGCTATTCCTTAAAAGTACTGAGTAGATTGACAACCATACAAGTTTATCACATACAAACACATACCAAGTTGTAAGCTAAGCTTACCATAAGGAGGTCTACCTGACATGAGACTTGAGGCTAAACTGGAGGTACTGGTTTCCTGAGAACCTCTGTTGGTCAAAGATGGAAACTCGGACAGGTCTAAAGCTAGATAATGAGAGAAGAAAGTCCTTTCATACTCAGAGTTCCAGTAAGAAACTATTTTTTTCTGTATTTAAATAAGATTTGCACTGATTTTAAATATCAGTATTAAAATATTATTATTACTAACATTTTTTAATATCTATCATCATAGATCATGCTATATCTTATGTGAAAAAGAAATATTCTGTACATATACATTGTTAGCTAATGCAAAAATAAATAAACAAATGGGCAGACAAGGTTATAGAACAAATAGTTGATAATTTAAGAATAATTTCAGCTCAAGCATGAAACAAAATTTTCAACAGCATATTGCCAGCTGTTTTCCTTGTTCACAGATGTAACAAACTACAGTAATACTAAAAAGTTATCTGTCCTAACTTGCCAGCTTGAAATCTGGAAAGGATACAAGACATTCCAACAATACTTTTTTTTCTTTTTTGAAAATGTTGTTCCAGACTTAATAAAATAAACTATTTATTAAGCTTCTAGGTCACATTGCATCAATTAGAAAGCACTTACTTCGAAGAGCAAACACAAGCAACCTTTTAATTTCATAAATAATAAAACAGAAAGCCTGATGGTTTGCATAGAAGTTTTAGAGATCAGAAGACAATATAAACTTTACTGTCCTTTTGAATATGTCAAACACAGCTCAATAATCTTAATTCTCAAAATATTTATATGTTGTTCAACTTTCTATGTTCACATTACCACACAGGGAAAATCTATCTTATTTTCTGTCCCTTAAATTTGTTAAAAATCTTTCAGTTTTTCAGTTTGAAAATAATAATAAAATAATAAAACACTTAAGGTTTTTGCATTAACCCTTGTTTGATGAGGGATAAAAAAGTCTTGATGCTTCCGAAAGTACAATTAATTCATACAAATTATTGACTTAATTAAATTAGTAGATAATAACAAATTTAATCATATGATACCAAAATTGTTATGTAGTAAAAATTTGGGTTCATATGTTTCAAAAAAACGGAAGCAAAAGTGGCTATAAATTGTTTTTGCTTGTGTATGCTAAGTACTGAAGATCACCTTATTGGTTATAAAACAATTATAGTTATATACGGTCAGCCTGTTATTTTGTAATGAAGAACTTTGAATGTGTAAATAACAGTCACCAAAAACTGTAATTTTTATAGAAATATGAAGCCATTCATAAGATGGTACTATCTTTTCAGTTAATGAAAAAACCATAGTTAAAAAAGTAATGTTTCTCAAAATAACAATAATTTATAATTTATTTATAATTAGGAACATAAAAAAGAAAGTTCTAGTTGTAATACTACTGTTTTAAAATGAAATGAGCTGTGGTTGACAATTCAACAAAAAGCAAAAAGGTGCACAAAATAATTAAAAAAATACATGTAATCTGAATAAAAGGAATTGGTTCTGTTATAATTTTAGGGCAAACAGCATAGCACTATCTTTAGCATTGTTCAGGTAGAACAAATAATCTTCAAATACACACAGGAACATTGAGAGAACATAAACTTAGTTTTAGGTAATTACCATTTGTTCTGCTGTAACTGTAGTAGTGGTTTGATTCTGCCAGAAAATAACCAAAAAGTTCTTTCTCAAGAAAAATTGCTAAATTCTTCAACTAATTGTACAAGATTTCCCATAGACATTAGTCAGCATTTTCATTTTTATCCTTTATTAATTTACCAAAACATGCCCTAATACAAATATGGTTTGTTATCTTTTTCTTTAGTTTACTGTGTTATATAAAAAATTAGAGAATTTAAATATCTATAATATACTAATTACAACTACTAAAAATACATAGTTATAAAAATAAATAATACATATATATTAACCAACAAAATCATAAAAATGCCTTTAGAGCTGGACAGTCATTGGAATAGGATAATCAATTAATGAGTCTGACAATTAACCGAATATTCTCATGAAACTTGGATAGTTGGAATAATCGAAAATAATAATAATAGGAAATACTAATTTTAATTAGTTGATTATTTTCATGAATCATGCAATTAATCAATTTAGGTGAACAACCTTGAATTAATCAAAAATAACTACAAGAAATCATAATGACAATATTTCGATTACTTAGAGAATTAGAATTATTGAAAACAGTAATAAAATGAAACACTAATATCAATTAGTTGATTACTTTTGTAACATTAGTTAATTATCTTATGTGACACCAATAAATGCTCACAGGTAATTAATTAATCAAGTTAATCATCCAGGTCCAGTGGACTAAATAAAGTGAAGATCATTAAAATATCTTGGAATATAAAATCATTCAAATGACAAAAAAGCACAATCTCTTAAATACTTTATTTTAAATATAATATATGTGGTTAATACTTCCAGTAAAAATACAAAATCTGTTAAAAAATGTGTAGTAAACAGAATATTTGTTGCACCAACACAAATATTTATTTCAGATTCTTACTATATCATAGTTACAATTTTTTAATTATGTTTTCAAAAGCATCAGGTAAAAGTTTAGCTTCTTACATAACTACCATATAAGGAGTTATAACAATAATTCTAAATGGTTCATACTTTAATACAATGTGACTGATATGCACAATCTACAATAAAAGGATTGTCTGATACATACAGTAGAAACCAACAGATTTTTCAATAACTTTCAGCAAATAAACTTATAAATTAATGATTTATTATCATACTTGTTGGCAGTTTTATACATGGTTTTTCAGTACTTGTGAGAAACCACACCTGAAACTGCCACTAATCCAATTTAATATAGGTCTGTTTTTTTTGGTAAAAGATGACATATTGAAAAATACATCATCCACTGCCTTATCGCACATGGCAAAGCATCCAACATAAACTGACCAAAACATTAATTTAGCCAATCAAACCAAATTATTAATCTATCTTTTACCTTCACCTAAAATATAAAGGCTCAGATGAAGGCAAAACATTCATTTTGAAATCTTGTATATATAGGTAAATTTCTTCAGGTGTCTATATGGTACATTTATAACATCATACACTAATATACAAATCCTAATGAAAACAAAGTTATAGAGATCAAGTAATTTCATGTTTAATAATTTTGCCAACTTAACTATTAATATTTGTACTTGTTATGGTTGAAAGAACTGAGTGTATTACAGGTTTCCAAAACTAATGTACTCATCAATAAATACTGATACAGAGTCAACATAGCATAAAGATTTTACACACCATTATCAATACAAAATATTGTTTTAAAGCTTTTTACAGAAAATATGGAAAGATCTGGCATCAAAAATTATTTAATATTCTGATAAAGAGCTTCAGAAATTTATATTTTATCATTCTACCAGTTTGTTACTACTCAGTCTGAAACTGAAGTTATAAAAAAAAAAAACTTGATAATTAAACAATTCCTTCCCTCTCTAAACAACAACTAACCTTCATACAACTTGAAATTGTTCTAACTGGATTTTGTTATTTATATTGAGATATGTATACCTGTTGCTATAATTATATTTGTTTTCACTTCTATAAATTAGTGATGATGTGATCTTTGTTATTCCAAACATTTAATAAACACTTTTGTGCCCTAATGTTCACATTTTCTTTTGTGATAAGGTAATTCTGGTTTTAAAATTTCATAGCTTTGGAGTAAACCAAGCTAGAATCCATATTTAAATTCTTAATTATTCAATATTAATCATGACTATTTTTTATTTGTGCAAAATATTTCAAATTTTAAAGCAAACAGGGAATTATCACAATATCGTACAGAATATAATATTTCATCCTACAAAATTTTTTGCCAATTACATTGTTTGTCTAAAACAACATATAAACACGTTAATTGTTCTTTTTGCTAAAGATATTAGTCACAAAAAATTCTACAGCAGACCTTAAAACATTAAAATATATTAAAGAATGACATTTTCTCACAAAATTTGATTGTTAGAATGTGAAAATTTATATTAAAAATAATAACATCAACAGAAATTTAATTTTTATTCATTTAGAATAATTATTTGTATGGACAAAAACCAAATAATATGTAATTTTTAGGTTAATTGAGTCTAAAAATATACAAGAGTTGACTGCACTTTCATATGTTAAAACTTTTTTAACTGTCAGTTGCCTTGTCTATTACTGCAATTACACTAAGCTAAATATGGTATGAGAAAAATAAGTGCTTATTTCAAAGTGAATGCCTATCATCTCTGACATTTGAATTATTTTCAATAAATATAAACCTGATAGTCTGCTTTTGTTTTGTTTTTTGAAGGAAAAAAATAGTGCCAAAAATCTAAGCATTTAAGACGAAGAACACCAAAACAACATGTCTGTAAAAGTTCTTAAAATTTAACATCATTCTTGGTGCAATAGTAACTGTTACTTTATTTCATTTATAACCATCAACATGTCTAAAAATATATACATAAAAGGTTATTTATTCAATACAATAATATTCAAAAATACCCTGGTACCAAAATGAAATATATTGCCAAGCCAAAATAATAAAAATCCAACAAAATAGGTGTTCCCACAATGCAAACTTTGCAAATTTGAGCAATCAATTAAGTCGTATGTCATAAGACCTTCATAAAGGTATAAAACTACTTAGTGAGAATAGTTGCCACCAGAAGATATCATGATAGGACCCAATGGCAGACACTAAGGGATACACCAAAAAATTCATTTTATCATAGAGTTGGTAAACTCTATATGTAGGGATGGCCAAGATACTCAATAGGCATAATACAAATATGCACACTAAAAAATGAACAATGACAGTTTTACTTTAAAAGATGATTGCCACTCACTTTCTTTTGTTTCTCTACCTAACAAGCCCCAAAACAAGGCAAGAAACCATATTTAAGATTCTAATCTAGAAAGTGACCAACCCACCAAATTGTTTATCTTTCTTCTTCTTGTTTCTGTGAAGATAATTCTGCAACTACTTTATCACTAATGTCAGTTTAAACCTAAATCCACTTTATGTATTTCTGAGCAGTGCATGATGTCATCGCTTAGTCGAAATAACTAGTAGTAATTAGTAATAAATCATAATTCTAGTGTAAATGATGTTATCATTACCCCTTTGAAGTTAGCTTTCTTACAGAAATCTGGTACTCTTTTAAAATCTTCAGTACAGGGTGAAACAAGAATTACCAGCAAATAATAGATGAACATTAGGTGACTGTAACATGTAAAATACTCAATGCTTGGTACACTATACAATCAATATCTTTAGGTAGCAAACCACTATACTATGTATGAAGTAAATGAGTAAAAAAACAAAAAACACATTCATAGAATACACTAACTTTCACTCAGGGAAAAAAAACGTCACGAAACAAGTAATCAAAAACATTTTATAAATATAAAATGGTGTAAAGATAGCAGTGCTAGGATGAATGCAAACAAGAATATAGGGATGATACAGCTATACATAGATCATCCCTATAGGACTTTCAATAGTAAAATTTAATGTTACACTGTAAAATGCATACTTGACTTTAATATTACTGCAATTAGAAGTTATATATTCCTGACTGTTGGTATGCAGTTTGTTTATCATAATATCACGGTCATGTCAGGGTAAGCATTGGTGTAGTGTAACTAAGAGCATAGGATGTACATACAAGGAAAACCAAGTTGAGTCAAAACATGTCTTGATTATTACAAACTCTCACTACAAGGCCGGTCTAATTGACCTATCTTAGTC